AAAAGGATTAACTATATTCTAGTGTTCCTCAGCTTTTATACCAACCATGCCTTTTTGGTGGAGGATAGAAAAAGCTAGGGAAATCTAGGTGACAAAGAGGTAGTCATAGATCATTTGGGTATAAAAGAAAACAAGAATATGGACTAGTAGAGTGTGTGCCTAATGTGCATGAGGCCCTGGGTTCCATTCCAAGCACCAAATAATTCATAAATAAATAAATTTCAACCCTGACAGCATACCCTTAAATCACACACAAGTGTGAGCATCTTAAAAGACCGAGATTTGAGGATCCAAGTTCAAATCCAGCCCAGGAAGAAAAGTCGAGGAGACTCTGATCCAGTGAACTAGAAAAAAGCCAGAAGCAGAGGTATGGCTCAAGTGGTCGAGCACCAACCTTGAGCTAAAAAGCTAAGCAAGAGCACCATGGCCTTGAATTCAAGCCCTAGCACATGGAGATAAGAGTCTCACAGACTTTCCTGCCCAAGCTGGCTTTGAACTTTAATCTCAGCCTTTTGAGTACCTACGATTATAGGGATGAGCCACCAGTGCCCGGCTTGTATGTTCCTTTGAAGGAGTGCTATGGAGACCCTCAAGAATGGGAAGGCATAACTATATGAGGATATATAAAGTAATTTTGGAAGGGAAACCACAGATAAGGGTCAGGGTGGACAACTCCACAAAAATCACAGATATGGGGTGCTTCTGGTGGTTGTAAGGATTTAATACTGTATCATTTTGAGCCAGGGTTAAAGAAGAGATCACAACCATGGTATAGAGGAGAGAAGACCAGTGTATGAAGGAGAGAACTTCAGCTGATGCTTCATTCTTGAAGGCAGGTCACTAAGCATTGTGACCATCACTCCCTATCCATGCTTCTTGCTGAGGCGGGGTTTATGCCATCCTCCAACGTTTTTAACTTAACTTCAGAGCATGGAAAAAGAGAAAAGATGGAAGTATAACTTGGGGGTAGGCGTGGGGGGTATAGTTGAGATAAAAATGAGGGAGGGGGTAACAAGTTCAACAAGAAATGTACTCACTACCTTACATATGTAACATACATATGTAACCTTACATATGTAATCCCTCTGTACATCACCTTCACAATAAAATTAAATTTAAAAAATGGAAGCATTTCATCATGATGTAAGGAACTGAATAGCCTCTTTTAATAAAAACTTACAATTCTACATTATATATAGAAATCAAGTGATTTTTAAAAGCATCTTTTGGAATATAACAATGAGAAAAGTCATTAGAAAACAGTAAAAAAGGAAAGTGAGAAAAAGTAGAAGAATAAAATTTAAATTGCACAATTATTTTCTAAAGTTGGAAGAATATGTAATATTTAATCAATCTGACAAAGAAAAACAGAAGAAAGCTAAAAATCAACCCAGTGGAAGAAATTAATAAAATAGAAAGCTAAAGATCAAGAAAAGAAAAGGAATCTGAGTTTACCAAACAGTTTTTAATAATCATAAGTGATTACACTTGTTTATAATTGTTCTGCTCTTAGGACTTGGGAGTAGTCACTTCTAGAGGGAATCTGTATTTTATGCTTCTAGAACAAAGCTTGGACGTCCCCAGAGTGGCTGAAGTACAAAGAAAATTCCTTTCAGTGCACTCAGAGAATGTTTCTACTATTAGCAGTGCTAATCTTCTCACAGAGTGAAGGGATAAAAGAGACAGAAGAATGAAGGGAGAAAGTTGACAAGGGTTTTTGTTGATTTGTTTTAAATATCCCTAGAGAGAAAATAAGTGGTATTGCAAAGATTTACTGCAGCCCCAGCAGAAGATGGAGACTCATTAATCCTGCTCTGTCTACATACCTGAAGACATATGAGCTGTTGGAATGGTTTTCTCACCCACTCATTGCCAGACCCACTGTCTGCCCTGCACCCACAGATTTTGGCTGCACAGAAAAGAGAAGAGCTCAGAGTAGCAGACACATATACCTATCCATTTGCCACATGGCCAAAGAGAGACAGGAAAATTTACTGCTGACACCTCTGGACCTTCTCCATTTACAAGCAAGAAACTGAATGGAACATATGCTACTTCTTTCTTATTCCTTCCCACCCTCCACACAGTATCAAATGCAGCTAGGAGGCCCAGGTTACAAAAAGATAGAGTGGGGACTCGGGGCATGGTTCTTGTGTTAGAGAACCAGCCATGAGCAGGCAAAGTAGACTTACTTTTTTGAAGGTCTTTGCAGACTCCATATTCTCAATTCTTCCCATGAAAATGTCCTAAAAATAGATAACTTCCAATGTAATTGATTTCTGATATTGCAGAACAGTAGGTAAACATGACAATAATTCTTCCTAAAAATGTCTATGGTCCAACTTACCACTACTCATTCTTTACCTACTTTTAATGATTATGTCACAGAACTTGTAGAAAAACTGCACTTGAAAGAATGATGAAATCCATAAAAACAGCTACAATTAGTTGATGATTTCAGAGTCATACAAAGCTATACAAGAATGTTTTTTTGTTTCCCATATCCTACAGAGATTCATGAACAGAAAATAAAATCCTTCTCTTTATTTGTTTGTACTAGTAAAGGCCCTAACAGAAAAGTCATTCATGTTTCACCTAAATGTTTCCTATGGAAATTTAGTTTTGTTCTCTATTAAATGAGGTATTAACTGAGCCAGATATGGTAGAATATATGTGTAGTCCCAGCTACTAGGAAGGCTGAGAAGGAGGATCTCTTGAGATCAAAGGTTCAATCCCAGCTTGAGCAGCATAGTAAAACTTCATGGATATAGATAAATATGTATATGTATGTATAGACTCGAAGGGAAAGCACAAGTCTCCACAAAAAAACTTACTCAATCTCTATCTTCTCTCTACGACATTCCATTATTCCTTACTCCTTATAAAATACGTCTAGGAATTTTATGCAAAACATCTCTGTGTCATGGTTTTTGTGTTGCTGCAAATGCCCTTTCTACCTGAAGAGTAGTTTGGAGAACAATAGTTAAAATTTTTTTATAAAGTCAGCAGGACCTGATCTCAAAAATAAAATTAAAACAGAAGGGCTGAGGATGGATCCTCAAATGATAGAGCCTTGCTTACCAAAGTCAACTGGTGGCTTTGCCTACCAGATTCTATCCTCAATACCACAAATAAAAAAAGCAAAACAAAACAAAAACTATTGCATATGCCAGAACAAAGGCAAGGGCAAAAACGCCATGAGGCTGGTGCTGGGCTTCAATGAATGATACATGGGAATTGATTAAGGTAAGGCAGAAAAATGACTTGGTGCCACTGTTGCTGCTGGCTAACATTTAATAAAGTCTTATCACGGGGCTGGGTTCAAATTCAATCAAACTTAAGAGTATGTGTTTAGAATGCTCAAGACCTTGGGTTTACTTTCCAGCACCATCCTCTTAAAAAAAGATAAAAAGAAAAAATGCTTACTATGGTGTTAGATGTAAAGCCAACTGATGAAACTAGTAACTTCATTTTGTAGCTGAATTCTGTTGTTGCAGGTTCCTACTTAACCTTGCTTTTATCTTTTTCAGACCCTGCTTGGAACACATCCTGAAAAACCATAGCACCCAGAATCTTAGGACACCCCTTCTACCATCTTTCAAAGGGGCCAAAGACCACTTGTTCCTATCCCCATCTCACAAGTTAATTGTCCTGCAGGCCAGTGCTGTTTATGGTCTCTCCTCTCTTGCAAAGTTAATAAGTCTTTGCATTCTTGTTTGCCACTGTGACTCACAGCCTGAGCACCTGTTAAAACCCTCAGACCTAACAATAAATACCATGCTGAGTGCTTTGAACATGTCACGACATTTAATTTTCTCAACAGCTTTCACTTCATTATTCAGATCATGAAACTCCTTTGTTGAATTTAGTAACACACCAAAGAACACAGAACATGCAGATGACATAGAGTTCAGGGCACTTGTTCTTCCCAGTGTAAGACACAGAGCTTCATAGCCATGCTATCACAAGTCCTGTGAGCCCCTTCTTTGGCCTTCACTATCAGAACTATTCTTCATGAGCTCACAGTCTTCAGGAAAATAGATACCTTCTCTTTCTCTCTGTCTCTTTGTGTGTGTGTGTGTGTGTGTATGTGCGTGTGTGTGTATACTAAGGCTTAAAATCAAGGACTTGTTCTCTCCTTTGGCTTTTCCTCTTAAAGCTGGTCCTCTACCATTTAAGCTATACCTTTAGTTCTGGAAATGAGAAACTTATACGGAACAGTTGTACACACTTTAAAGTGTGTTTCTACAAGCTCTATCTATCTATCTATCAATCAATCAATCTATCTATCCATCTATCCGTCTATCATCTACCTATTTATCAATCATTTATTTATATATCATTTATACATCTGACAAACACATTCAAAATTGATATAGTGGAGCATGGCAGTGCACATCTGAGGTCCCAGCATTTGTGTGTGTGTGTGTGTGTGTGTGTGTGTGTGTGTGTGTGTGTGTGTGTGTGTGTGTTTGGGGTTGCAGGAAGGAAGTCAGGGTTTCTGATATGGTAAGCATACCTTCTGCCACAGAGCTACACTTCTAGATCCACAAGCTCACTTTCTAATTCTTAAGTCATTAAACACAATGTAGAGCAGCCTGCAGGAAGACCACCTTCCTCATCCCCCTCCTTCTCCTCTTCTTCCTCCTTCCCCCCTCTCCTCCTTTATTTCTCAGCTGCTGATCTACCTAACTTGTACTTTCAGTCCTGTTTTTGGTTGATTATTTTTGAGATGGAGTCTTACCAACTTTTCTGCCCCAGCTGTCCTTGAACCTAGATCCTTCTGCTCTGAGTCTGAGTGGCTAGGATTATCTCCCAATTATTAATCAAGTTCAATTTTGTTAACTTGAGTGAATTTTTGTCTCTTAAAAATAGGAAATTTGCTTATTCATAACTTTCCTTAATTCTAAATATAAATGACAAAATAGAATTTTAAGTTTGTTAATTTTAAGTTTGTTAGGTTCTACCTATAAGGAGAAATCAAATGAACATATAATTACCTCATTCTCTTCAGATCTTGAATCTTGTTCATCAGAATTTCCTTCTAGAAAACATTTTACTTTCTCAACCTCTTCCATGCACTGAAAGAATGTCATTTTCTCCAGCTGATTGCTGCTGTAACACGAGCTGATTTCTTCCAACCTCTTCACTTTTAACATTTTGGTGGTGAGCGTAATTAAGCTACTATTTGAAGTATGATTTTCATTTCCCTCTGTCTCAGACTCGTAAATCAAGACACAATCGTGACTTTTCAGAGCTTCAGTCTCCTGACTGTAAAGAAAGCACACACACTTATTATACCAACTTACTCAGTGAAGATTTGGATGTGGCTTCTGTTTGAATTGGAGAGACAACTCAAATTGGAAAGAGAAATGCAAATATTTGTATTGAGTTTCCATTGGTGAATCTTTTCCTACAAAAGTGGTAAGAAGCAATCTCAAGTGACTATATAACTCATTTTGTAAAACAAAATATATATTGTGGCAGAGTAAAATGCCTCACCTCCCCCCCCCCCAATGTTTCTTTGGTCTTTTTCAAAGTTGACCATGTAGGAAAAATTGTAGACCTCTGAAGATAAAGGAACAGCTCTGGAAATCTGTCCTTTTGTAAGAAAGAAACTTAATACATCCACATGAGTAAATAGCAATGCAGGCAAAGGTAAAGGCATCTCTGGCTGGTATCTCCCTTTTTCTACCTAGGAAAGATCTATTCACAAGAAGAGATGAGTCTCAAGCCTAGCCTTGATGGAGATGACTATCAGTGACTATTATTTGAAAGAGATGATCTGAGCCTCAAGGCAACCATGGCTTGCTGTATACCTCCTCCTTCATCTTTCCAGGGACAGAGCAACCTCTTTTGACTTCAGAAGTCCAAATTCCTATCCCTTTAAGCTCTGTATAAGGGACAGCTCTGCTGCTCCTCTATGAAACTCATACTCCTATTCTTAGGCATGTAGTAAATTCTGTGTGTTCTTTTTCTTATTATCTGTCCAGTGTTGATTTATTTCAGAGAGAACAAAATAAATTTAAAACTTCCCTACAGTATCTAATAGCCAACTTAAATATTGACTCTAAAGAACTCGATGTTTGGATGGGATTTGCAAATTTTGTTCATTTCCTTCCCTCCAAGGGGATTTAACAAGGAAGGAGGGCCTCCTGCTTCTCCTGGGTGTTTTGCCTCCCACTTGGGGGATATCTCTGTAATTCTCTCCCCATGAAACTTTGCATTACATTTTTAGCAACTCATATAACAAAATAACCAACTGGTATTTCAAAAGTTTTTAAATCCAGAGCTCTAATATGTTTTATACCACCTAAAGAAATTATATTCAAGCAAATAAAAATACAAATAGTATCAACCAGAACTCTATGCATTATAGACCATTGGTACCATTCTTGGGAACTTTCTTGAAAATCCCATTATTAAAATGCAAAAACAGTTGATTGTTCTAAGATAAATTATGATATATATATAGTTTAGTTACAAGTGACCCATAATTAAAATGCAAAAACAAATACTCAGTTGTTCTGACATAAACTATGATTGAGATACATCAGTTACAAGTTACTAAAACTGCATTGGGAAGCCACTTAAAACATTAACATATTAAAAACAAAAGCTTAGCTCCAAGATATAATTGCTTTGCAAAGGAATACTATACCTTAAGGTGTACCTGAAGTTTAGTACAACTTGTTATTTAAAGCAACCCACAGAAAGAAAGAGAAGATTTGATAGGTTATAACAATCAAAAATCATAATTACCATTTATAGGAAGACATCATAGTGTTTGGACCACTCCCAGGGTAGAACGAAAATTTGGCAGATAAAAGGAATCTTTGTAGACTTCAAATTGGCTACAGAACTCTCTGAGAGTCTTTTCTCTCAGCGAGTAGAAGTCTTCTGAAAAGACAAGTGTATATGACAAGAGGAAGTATCCTCTCTCTCAAATTCCACTCTGAGCCTCCTTTAAACTATGGCCCTTGATCTCATGTTGCTCAGCTGTTGCCTTCTTAGTCAGATGGAGAAGAATATTAATTTTAGACACCAGGCTTTTCAAGGCCAGTGGCTCCATTTCAGAGGTCAGGTAAGGAGAGGACAAACTGGGAACACAAGATGAAATAGCTCCACGTTCCCTATCACCAGTATGGCATTGCCCTGGTAAATACAAAGCAGGGTCTGTTCCTGGCAATCATGCACCCCTTCCGGACTCATGTAAGTGCTTGCTCTCATCTGGAAGATTTATCATACTCCATGCATACTCCTTATGGTAACTTTGAACATGTCCAGCTGCAATAGCAAGTCTGACAATTTGTCATCAGAAGTTAGCAGACCTTAGCAAGTTTGTCTTCATTTGCTCAATCTTTGAAGATACTTTAAATATATTCAACTATTTACAACATCTAGGTAGGTATGAGGAACAGGGGTTGATTTTTCTCTTAGGAACAACTATGATTGTCCTCTGATTTTCTACCAGACAAAGAAAAGAAAGTTCATTTAGAAACAACCACCTGCCTCATTCCAATTGTGGTATATTTCTGGATTTGAGTGACATAAAGCCTTGATTGCGTCGAAACTAGAATTAATATTACAGATGACTCTCCAATTCTTTAGGGCCTAATCAGTGGTGACTTCTTAATTTCAGTGTTTCTTAAACCCTCTATGACCCAGATCAGCACCAATATCTTGCACCCTCACATTCAAATAAAAGGAGAAGGGGGTTAATTCAAGTCAGTGTATTCTATACAAAATAAATATATCTATTTCAAGTGGCATTTAAAGGATTGCAAGATAATCCTTTTTTAATGGAACTGCTGAATTAAGGCTAGCTCAAGTGGCAGAAAGATTGCTTGGTAATCACAAGAAGTCCTGTGTTCAATCCCCAGTAGCACTGACAAAAGAGCTCTTCACTAGCTATTGTAAAAAAATAAACCTGGAACTGTTACTAGTTTTCTAGTACATGCACAACAAAATTATCAAAATTATGATGAAAAGACTGATTTAGACCCATTTTATAGGCATTATTATACTATACATACTGATAGTGCAACAAATCCCTCCCCACAAAAGAAAGATGCTTGTGGACACATCCTCTAATGAGACCATGAGAACAACGAAAACATACTCTCCATTCCATCAGGCCCAGCAAGTAGCCAAAGGCTCTGGTGACCAACAGGCCTATAGAATCTGCTACTTGACTTCTTAAAAAATAATTTTTATGTTAGAATAGCTTTCGATTCATAGAAAATTCACAGAGCTCCGTTTCCTTATATCTGGTACCTCATATCTTCTACTTTCAGCATCTTGTACTGACATGGTACATCTGTGGCCATTCATAAACCAATGTTGATACATTTTTATTAACTAAACTCAACAGTTTTCTTCCTCTAAAATCCCCTCTCTTTCCCAGAATCCCATGCAGGCTTTCACATTGCATTTAGAACCAATAGGATTTAGAAATTATTGGATTAGGTTATGAAAGAAAGACAGTAGACAAAGATGATTTACACAGTTCTTTCTGAGCACTTGTAAGTCAGACAGAGCTGATGTTAGCTGAGATAGAAACAGCCATAGGAGAAGCAAATTTTGCAGGTAGATTGTAGCTCAGGGTAAAAGATATCTGGTACAACAGTTAACCACGTGCCTATATGGTCTATTCACGTAACCTCAAGATCCTACGTCCAGACACATTAAATAGTCTGAAAGCTTAAAATGCTCTTGTGCCTAGAAAATTTTGTAGTAAAGCTATCAGTAGGACCAGCTTTTCTAGTATTTTCATGGTGTTTTGGAGTTACTGATCTTTTTTGAAAATATGAACATAATGAAAACAGCTTTCCACAGAGCCATGGGAAAGAATCTGCTTATTTTCAGATGACACTTCCAGGAGATGAATAAGAGGGTACACTGTCTGTCAGAGGAACCACACGAACAGGCATCACTGACAGCTCCTTCACTGCTTGTCATTCAAACCTGCCTTGATAATGCTAATCATTTGTGTTATGCACAGCTTTCTGAATGTTTCCAGATCAACAAGGCCTCTACTACACACCAAAGTAGAAGAATCATCACAAGTATCAAAATGCAAATTAGAAACTACTACAATCATGTTATCCACATTGCAACTGACTCTTCTTCCTTTCATAAAGCACCACTAAATATAACCCATAAAAGCAAAACATGATCAATTGTCTATCATCAAAATTCAAAATATTTGCTCTTCAAAGGTACCATTAGTAAAAGATTAGCCACAGACTGGAAAGTAGCTTGAACTCACATATTTGATGAAAGACTTATGTAGAATATATAATGCATTCTTATTATATCATAAGATAACAAACATCTCAGTTTTAAAAATAAACAAGATTTTTGCATTGCCATCAAAGAAGATATATAAATAATATATAAAATAAATGCTTTGAATTATTCATTATGTCAATGCAAATTAAATCAAAATGAAATAACATGTTATACCTATTAGAAGGCCCATAACAATAATAATTTTAAAAGACAGAGAAAAATAAATGTGGAAGGGAGTGTAGAGAAATCAGAGCTTTCATGAGTCAGGTTGTGGGAATGTTAAATGGTATAGGTGTTTGGAACATAGTTTATCAGTTTCTTTCAAAGTTATTTCCAATGTAGAAATTTAAACATAAAACTTTGTATATGAATGTTTGTGGAAGCATTGGTCTCAATAGTAAAAGAAAAAAGAGACACTCTAAATGCTCATCAGTTTTCTAAGTGGACAAACATAATGTAGTATGCCCATATTAACTACTCAGCAATAAGAAGGAATAAAATACTAATGCTTGCTACAACATGAATAAACAGAAATCTGGGATAAGTGGAAAAGAAAAGGTCAGAAGCAAAGACCATATAATATAAAACGTTCAGGTGGTTGCCTGAGACACAGAGTAAGAACAAAGATTAACTGTAAACAGAGTCAAGAAAGGCAATGTCTTGTGGTGATAATAATACACCTTGTTGACTTTGTGTGTGCCAATCGTGAGGCTTTAACTCAGGTCCTGGGTGCTCCTCCTCAGCTTCTTTGACTCAAGGCTACTGATCTACTATTTGAGCCACAGCTTCATATCCAATTTTAGGGTTGTTAATTGAAGATAAGAGTCTTTCTAACTTTTTTGCCTTGGCTGGCTTTGAACCACCATCCTCAGATCTCAGCCTTCTGAGTAACTAGGATTATAGTCATGAGCCACCAGCATCCGGCTACATCGTTGACTTTCTTAAAACATTGCTGACTTGTACACTTAAGTGAATTT